ATTATGTAGCCATGAATAGAATCTTGCTTTGGAAAAAATTTTAAAATTAAATAAAAACTTAGGATGGTGCCTGATACATGAAGTACCATCCATGTGGGTTTTTATTAATGAGCTCAGGTTGGTCCTTTCATCCCCTCATGGTGGATGAGGAAACTGAGGCCCAGAGCGGGAAGGTGACATGGCTGCGCAGCCCTGGTCTGTGGCCAGGGAAGGGCAGAGTCTTGGCTTCTGGCCAGTCTGGGTCCTCGTTCTGGCTCCCCCACTTTCTAGCTGTAGGACGCTCGTCCAGCCAGTCCCTGCACTGCTCTGACCTCCCTTGTCCACCTGTGGAGGGGAACGGAGTCTGCAGGGGTCTCTGGGAGGGTGCTGCCCAGCTGGTGCCAGGTGTGTGGCCTTCCCCCTGCAGCTTCTTACTCCATTCAGGGTCCTGAGCCCCCTTTTCAGTCTACTGCTCTTGGGAAAGGCATCCATCCCACCTTCCTGGGACCTCAGTTTTCCCTGCTGAGCTGGTCCAGCACGGTGGGACCCAGACTGCCTGGGTTCAGGTCCCGGCTTCCCTGCCTGTGCTTTCTGCTTGCATGTTCCTGGGCAGGAAGTTCACCTCTCTGAGCCTCAGTTTCCTCATCAGCAAAATGGAGATAACAATAGTACCAACCTCAGTGGCCCTTGTAACGCTTAGATGAGAAGTGAATATAACATGCTTAGCACAGAGCCTGGCACACTGTGAGCCTTAGGCCTGCTGGTTATTACTATTATTATTACTGTGGTGTCATGAGCTGTGGAGGGGCCAGAGGACACGTGCGTGCCTGGAGGCAAAGGGCTGGCCCCGGAGCTCCTGCTTCCCCACTCTGCCTGCTGGCCCCCTCACTCTCTTTAGCACTGAGTGATCGACAGGCTGGGCCGGTGGCATCCTGGCAGGCCTGTCCTGGCAGCTGCTCCCACAAGGCGAGGCCCTTGAGCTTCAGAGAATTAATTAGGCCACATTCCTCTTCTCCTGGCGGGCCTGCACACGGCCCCCTTCCGAGCTGCTGAGGGCTCTTGGCTCAGGTCCCTGGCAGGCGAGGTGAGGCCCACACTCTGCTCTCCCCTGAGAGGGGCTGGGAGGGCCCTCCTGAGCTGGAAGCGCTGGCTGGCTGCGGAGGGACAATACTAAGCCCGCAGTCGAGGCCAGCTCCTGTCCCGGCTCTCCCCTGCTAGCCACCTTCACTGGCTCCCCATCACTCAAGTTCAAATTCCTGGCATCAAATGCAGTTCCCAGCTGGTCCCTGCCCATCAGGCCGGCTGCCTCTCTCTGGAACCCTCCATGCTCTGGCCAGACCCTTTCCCCAGCTGCCCATTTCTGCCAGCCCCTCTCCAGCCTTCTCCCTGCCCCTTCCTTCTTTTGCTCCCTGAAAGGGGCTGATAATAGCCCCTTCCCCACAGAGCCTTCACCTCTGCTGTTCTCTCTGCCTGGAACACTTGTCCACCCTCCTCCTTCACTTGACTGGTTCCCTTGAGCTTGACCTAGATGTCACCTCCTTCAAAAAGCCATCCTGGACTCCCTGACCGCAGGAGCTCTATTGCAGTGTAGATGAACCCTTCCTACCAGAGAGACGGAACAGCTTAAAAGTTTAGAGCCTGGTGTTTAAATCCCACCTCAGCCATATACTAGCTGTGCAACTTTGAGCAAATTAACCTCTCCTTACCTCTTCTCTAAAATGTGAATAATAAGGGCCCTGGCCAGTGTGGCTCAGTGGTTAGAGAGTTGGCCTTATCAAGAGCACATTACCTTGGTTGCAGGCTCCATTTCTGGCCTGGGTGAGGGCATGTTCGGGAGGAAACCAATCCATGTGCCTCTCTCACATTGATGTTTCTCTGTCTCTCTTTCTCCCCCTCCCTCCCTCCCTTCCACTCTCTCTAAAAATCAATGGAAAAAAATATCCTCGGGTGGGGATTAACAAATAAAATAAAATAAAACAAAATGGGAATAATGATGCTAGAATCTGCTACTTAAGGTTGCTGTGAGGAACCAAGGGCTTCACAGGCAGAGAACACCTAGTGAGCGCTCCGTGACTGTAGCTGTTGCTGTAACCTTTCGAGTTAACAGTGGCCTCCTGAAGGGCTCTCCTCTTGACCTGCGAGGCAGGAGCTGTGTCTGTTTTGCTTACAAGACTCTCCAGAGAGGTGATTATTCTTATTCATAATTGTTGAATGGACGGAGGCCACATTCCAGTGATTTATTGCCCCGATAGGCAAATGACTTTTCTGAAGTGAAAATCCAGCAACCTGGTCTCTGTTTTTAATCAGAGAGAGAGAGAGAGAGAACGAGCTGAATGAGGGGGTGGGGCAGAGGCAGCCAGGGAGGGGCCCAGCCTACCCCCTGGATATGTATCAGGCCTGATAGCCCTGGACATGGACCGAGCTCCCCTCAGCCTCAGCTTCCATTTGTGCATGTAACCCGAATAAATCTGGAGCATTCTGTGCCCCCTTCTGGCCTTTCTTTGCCTGGTGTTCCCATTAAAAGGAACACCAATTTGACTCAAAAGCCTTGATAAAACCTGCTAAGCATTTATGGGGAAGGCAGAAAAAGGCAGGAAAAGGGGAGACTTTGTCCCACAAAATCCAAACTTTCTAAAACATTGACACTTTCCTCCCAGGGTTCCATTCCACTTGGCAGCTGCTTCTCACAGATCTTCCTCCGCTTCCTCCAGACTCCACGCACCTTCCCCCGCACTCCCAGGGCCCAGCTACCTGGGCTGTGGACTAGAAGCAGGCATGCACTTTGGGTGCACATGGCCCCTCGGCCCTTCAAACTCCTCGTCCTGTGGAGAGAGGCAGGACCTAAGGGAGGACAGGCCCGGACCACCGACAGTGCGAGCCCAGCGAGGCCCCCATTTCCAGGGCACTGCAGTATCACCTTGCCTTTACCTGCTTCCTGGGCCGCCTCTCCCTTTAATCTGTTACTTAATCATTTGGGCTGCTGATCTATGAACTCTGGCCAGGGCCACCAGGGCCTTTGCCAAGGGCAGGGAATGCCTGCTTCCCTGGGTCTCCGCCACACCCTGAGCCTGGATGGCATCATCCCTCTGCCAGGCTTCCATCGCACCTGCCGCCTGGGGTTGTCCCACTCGGCGGCCCGCTTAGCTCTTGGCTGTTATTTTGGGCTCCCAGTGGGGACAGGATCATTCTGAATGAGCTGCTGGGCTTCCAGGGAGTGAGATTCCCCTGGCATCAGCTCAGCTGAGATTTGAGAGGTGTGCTGTGGCCCTGGGCCGTGGTAGAGAGTTACTGGGCTGGGCCCCGTTACCCCAACCCTCACCACCTAGAAGGCACGGTGGACCCCTAGGGGCTGGTTGTGAGCTTGCTTCCCTGCCTCCTGTCCCCTCATTCACTCCTCTCCTGTGCAACCCTATAGGGGCATATTTCTAAAGCCCAGCTCTGACCAGGATCCCTGTGCTCACGGACCTTTGGTGACTTTCCATGGCCCACAAGTGAAAGTCTTCAAGCCTCTCTGGCTTCACTCCCGCTGTACCCCCTCACCATGCTCCAGCCACATGGGGTCCTCTGTGGGAACCTCCTTTGTCACTCTCACTGCTATACTTTCACCCTCCTGTTCCCTCTGTCTGGAGTTGCCTCCTAATTTTCTTTCTATTTATTTCAGTCTTACTCATCTTTTGAGGCTATGGGAGTAGCCTTTGTCCAGGAGTCTTTCTCCGACCACTCCTCTCCACCCCAGCCGACCCCAGTCTCTCTCCCCTCAGGTCCTTTAGCTCTGTGCCTGTCCAGTGACCACATACCCACTGACGGCCTGACAAGCAGCCTCTGCCTCTTATCAGGCCCACAGTTCAACCCAGAACTGCTTCCTGTCTCTTCATTCTTAATCGTTTAGTGTTCACACCAGCCCTGCAAGGTAGGGGCTATTGTTTGCCATTTTATAGATTAAAAAAACAACTGAGGCTCAAAAAGAGAGAGATTTGTTCAAGCTCAGATACAGTGCTGACCCATGGATCCAATCAATAAATGTTTATTAAATACATACATACATATGTAAGATAGACTCTGAGTTCAAATCCTTGTGCCACCACTTACTTGCTGTGTGACCTTGGGCAAGTCAGTTGCCTTCTCTGTGCATTATCTATAAAGTGGGAATCATAAAAGTACCAATGTCATAGGGTTGTGAGGATGAAACAAGTTACTCAGGGTGAAGTGCCGGTGTGCAGTGTGTGTCAACACACTACCCTCCCATTAGGGGTCAGGGATGGCTTCACAGACAAGGCAGGATTAGAGCAGGGTGTAAATAATTAATTTTCGATTGCTGCCTTAGACCACAACCTGCCACTTTTAGCACAGGCCAGCTGGGAGGAAAGGGACAGCCTGCTCATGGGGGGATTTGGCAGGGATGGAGGCCGTGGGTCCAGGCAGCTGTGAGCAGGGGCGGCCCTAGTTGCTGGGTGCCTCTGGGACTCAGGTGGGCTGCTTCTTGGGCCTGGGTGAGATCGGCCAATCCAGTCCTAGAGCCCTGGGCATCTTCAGTCAGAGGAGTGTTAAACCACCTCTAGCAGAACCTTCATCCAAGGCCCAAGGCGAGAGACAAGGCCAGGGCCAGGCCATGGCTCCACCGCAGCACCCGTCACTGGCCACGAGAACTGCACACGGCCTTCACTGGATAGGTTGTTCTGGGCCTCCTGGCAGCCCCTGGGGGCACAGGGCAGCTGGAGCAGAAGTGAGCCTCGGCTCCTTCTGAACCTGCTCCTGGGAAAAGCCTGGTCTGAGAGGAACGGAGGTCCTGGAATCCTGGATGTCACAGCGACAAATGGCTATCTAGGCACATGATAGGCAAAAGCCCAGAGTGGGTGGGTTAGCAGCCAAGATGCCCAGCAACAGCATGAGGAGTAGAACCCAGGCCTCTGGCCACCTGCCTCTGGCCCTTTCCCCCCCTTCGTGTTTCCCCCTAACTTCCAAGCAGCCCCTTCCCAAGAAGAGCCTCCTACCCCTGGCTCAGCCAAGATGAAATGCCAGAGTACCTTTCACTGTTTATTACAAACACAAGTTTGCCTGCAAATAATTGAAAGTCTAAAAAAATACATTACAATAAATAAGTGGAGTTATCCAAGTTCTTAGAGCAAATAAGTTATATACAGATAGGTAAAGCAGTACAGGCCCCCTCACCAGGAGCGTCCTGAGGGCATTGAGGGCACAGGACTCTGGGGAGGGAGAGCTGGAGGGGACAGATGAAGGGGGCAGGGACACCAGCCATTGGCTGGCTTAGGCGTGAGCGTCCACCACTGTGCGTTGCTCCTGGTTTGTAGCCAACAGACAGGATACCTCTCAGGACATGGCTTCCAGGTTAGTTCTTTTCCGCAGGGATGTGGTACCAGAGCCAGAGTGGGAGGCTGCTCTGCAGCCTGGGAGCTGAAGGCTTTTCTGGGCAGCGTGAGGGCTCGGAGCTGCCTTGAGGGGTCTCCCTCACTTCCCTCACCAGGGCGGGGAGACCAGAGCTTGTGCCAATCCCAGCAGGTGGGTTTCCAGGTCCAGAAGCAGGTGGAGAGTCTCCCTGCCTTGGGCTGCCCCTCTCTTCCCATATCCACACAGGCTTCCTTCCCAGAGTTTCTCCAGCTTCCAACACTATCTCTTCCTGCGCCCGGAGTGTGTAGGCTTGGACTTCTTTGTTGCCTCCTGCTGTCGCCTAGCAAAGCAGATCTTGGCAGAAGAAATGTCCCTGGAATCAAGAAGGGTCAATTTAGCATCTCAGGAGATATGGACAGCCCAAGAGTACCCTGTGAGAGGCAGCAGCAATAGGGACTGTACCCCTTAATCGTGGCTGCCTTGGGGTCAGAAGGTGGCCACTGACCCTGAAAACAAGGTCTGCCCATCAGTACGAGCTCAACCAGGCCTAGAAGCTTCTTTGCCCACAAGGGATTGGATGAAGCTGATGTTCAACATTAAATGCTGCTGCAATGACTAGACGGCCAAGAACAGCCCAGTTTTTATGTCCCAGGACCTGCCTTCCTACTTCCACACCTTGGCTCACGCCATCCCCTCCAGGCTGCTCACCTTCTGCTCTCCCCCAATCCACCTACTACAGTTCCCATTTTTCAAGTTCCAGATGAAGGGGGATCCAACCCAGATTCATATGGGTCCTAGCTGCCCTTTGAGCCTGGCTGAGACCCTTGCGGGGACTTGTGTCATTCAGGTGGCCTCGTCCTGGCTCAAAGCATTCTAGCTTGGAAGCTAGGAGGCTGGCTTCAGTTCCAGCTGTGGGAACTTGGGCAAGTGTCTCAACCTCTCTGAGCCCCTGTCTGGGTCTATAAGATAAAACTGCCCTGAACTGTTGTAAGGCAGAGCACAGGTTGGCTAAGCAAGCTCTCTGCCCACCCTGAAGGGCCATGCCCTCGCAAAGTCTTATTTTGACTTTTTTCATCCTAAGACAGTTCCTAAGTATATGCTGGGTCCTGCCTGTCTCACCACCCTGTCTTTTCTCCTCTGTTTCTGTCTCCCCACAAAGATAGGAACCCCTTTGGAGCCATACTGGGCCCCAGCACTGGCTGTTCTAAGGAGCCATCTGGGACAGAGGCAGGAATGGCTCATACCCCCAGGGCTCCCACTGGGGGCCAGGCCCTACTTGAGGCGCTTCACTATGTCTAATCATCTGACCTCACCACAACCCATGAGATGGGTAGCATTGTTGTCCCTATTTCAAAATAGGAACTTAAAGCACAGAGAAGTTAAGTGACAAGCCTAAGGTCACAAAGCTTGTTTGTGGCAGGGCCTGGGTTTAAATCAGGCAGATCTGGCTGGAATGCTGCCCTTGGCCACTCTGCTGCATGGCCAGATGTGGGGCTTCTATCTCAAGTCAGTTTGGTTGGACAAACATTCAGGGGCACTTTCTGTGTGCCAACACTGGGGCTGAGCCATACTGAGGCCACCATGGGAGGGATCCATTCTGGGATGGGGGGAAGGAGCAGGCTGGGTAGTTGGCCCCTTTGGACCCCAGCATATGGGAGATGCTTGATTCAGACACAGGCTGAATGAGCACCTGTGGTCCTTTGAGAGTCATGAACCTTCAAACTCTCTAAAGAATCTACTTCCAGGCATAGTGGCTAAAAGCATGGGCTCTTGAGTCAGCCAGATGCCAGACTGCTGTGTGACCTTGGGAAAGTACCTTCACTTCTCTGAGCTTAAGTTCTCTTAACTGTCCAATGGGGCGCAGTCCTGCCTCTTATAGAAAACAAGAGAAATGTGAGGAAACGTGCAAGGCATACAGGAGGCACTCGGTCAGTGCAGGACCCCTTTACCTTAGCAGCTGCAGGAGCTCTCCTGCAGTGGTCCATGTCTTGCCAGCCTGGAACACATCTTCTGGGGATGCAATGCCTGGGTTTGCCATGGTTTCAGCCCTGAATGAACAGCAGTAGAGCCCAAGTGAGGGGCTGTCCAGGGCCCGGAGGCTACCTGGCTGCAGGCCCAGCCCAGCCCCCACCCTACCTCCACCTGTCCTCAGGAACAGATCCATTTCCACCCCTGTGCACCTGGCATCCTTCCTTTCCCAGGCAGGGTGGGGAAAACTGAGCTACTGGGAATGTGTTCTTAGCTTCAGAAAGAGGCAGCTGGGTGGCTGGCTTTCTCAGAATCCAGCCACCTGCAGCTGAGTGTGGCCATTTGCAGGGGAAACTGAGGCAGGGGTAGAGCCACAGCTTGAGTCTCAAAGGGGTTTTATTGTTAACTGTCATAGGAATGGAGGCTGGGATTGTGAAGCCAGGTTCTGCTTTCCCCAAAGCTCCAAGTGGAGGAGGGAAAGAACAAAGTTTCCCACTCTTTTACAGATGGAAAAGCTGAGGCCCAAAGAGTTTAGAGATTTGCAAAGCACCCCCGCCCCCGCCCCCCCCAGCAACTCTGTGATGACCCTGAAATAGTGTTATGGTCTCCCAATTCCAGATGTTACTTCTCCATTGAGAAAGCTTCAAAGTCTCCTGAACCTCAGGTCTGAATCCAAAGCCCTGTGGACTCGGTCAGACAAGCCAAGGCTGAAGCCCAGCTCTCCTTCTGACCAGCTGTGTGGACTGACAGGACAAGCCTTGTCTCCTTTTGGGGTCTGGGAAGAATCCCTCCTGCACAGGAGTGAGACGTGGTGCTCTCAGAAGCCCCCAGAGCTGGGCAGTGGGAGGGACTCAGGGATGACTGGTTCCCTGCGGGAAGCGACACTGCCCATGGACCCAGGGCCGCCTATGGGCCCCTAGGACCCTGCTCCCCCTCCCCCCATTTGCTCCTCTGCTGGTTCTCCCAGACACCTTGCTGTCCAAGGCAGGCCCAGGCTAGCAGCCACCCCTGGCCCCTGCAGGCTGGGTGCCCACCTACCAGGGCCTTTGATGGCAGAAGGTGGCACAGGCAGGGTCTCTGGCACTGGAGCATTCACAGCGCCCTGGCAGAGAGCGGCGCCGGCGTCTTGGCGGGTTTCCCAGGCCGTAAGGAGCTGTCTGTCTGTGGGCGGGCAGCCAGCAAGGTAGTGATGTAGGGTGGAAAGAGAGGGGGGAGAGAGAGGAAGAGGGAGGAAGAGAGGGAGAGAGGGAGGATTAGATAAGTCACTACCATTGGTAAGCAGGGACTGTCTACACTGCACACTGGGATGGCCACGAATGCCACTAGGGTGGCAGCCAAAGGTGACCAGCCCCTGACTTCAAGAAGTCCCACCACAGGCTCTTTACTAGGTGCCAGGTAGCCCTGGACAAGACTCAAGACCCTTCCCCATTTTGGGCCTCTGCACGGCCTATCCCCCAAGCCCAGGGAGTCCTCCCAGTGCACCCTCTCCAGACAGGAACTTGAGATGATAGAACCAGGCTGTCCCCTTGTTCTCAAAGAAGGCCCTCAGCTTACCCTGGAGGAGGGGAAGAAATACCATCTCCCAGAAGTAAACACACAGGTTCACAGCTGCCCCCACCTGGTCCCCACTTGTCTAGAGGAGTGACATATATGTCTTAGAGTTTTGACTTAAAAATGGTGAGTTTGTGTGCCTGCACATGTGTGTATGAGACCAGGTGGGACTGACTTCAGATCAGAGTCTAACCAAGGCGGGTCGAGGGCAGGGCAGGGGCCCTGTGGCCGGTTGGACCAGCACCTTCGGATGCCAGAGCTAATTTTAGCTGGTGCGGCTGAGGTTGTAATGACTCCAGGTAGACCCGGCAGGCAGGGACTGGCAGGGTTCCCACCCTGAGCGAATGTTTGAATGTGGATTAGCTCCACACACGCTTACGTGCCGGGCTTCTCTTGTCTTTGGCAATTTGGGGAAGGGAAAAAAACACAAATGCACACAGAAACTTCAGCTTGAAGTATGCAGTGGCCCGGAGGCAGTGCGGGTGCAGACAGAACAGACAGCACGGGCCCCCACCCTGGCTCCACCAGGTGACAAAGGGCAGGTTTCTCATCTGTCATTTGGGGACAACAGCAGTATCTGCCTCAGGGGAGGATTGGGGGGGTTCATGAGATAATCATGCACGAGCGTGCTTGGCATAGGGCCTGGCACAGTCGAGACATGGGCGCTGTCATTAATTGTATTATTCTTAGAAGATCATGCTGAGGCAGCATGGCAGAGCGGGTGTGAGCTCTGGCATCCACCGGACCTAGGATGGAGCTTGCACCTACCACCTTCTCTTTTCTGTGTGATCTTGCAGAAGGCGCCTAACCTCTCTGAGCCTCAGTACCCTGACCTGGAAAATGGAGCCAACATGTTTTTCCCAAGCTGTTGCGAGAGTTCTCATGAGACACCCTCTTTATTGCTCAGGCAGCCTCCACATGGGAGTTGAAACAATAACTGCTAACTATTGATATCAGCCCAGCGCTCCCATCTGGAGGCCCAGGGAGAGCTGTGCGGTGCCCAAGGTTCCCCAGCGTGCCAGTAGCCCCTGCCCCTGCCCCCACTCCTAGCAGCCCGCCTGGATCCCCATGGTAGCTCACCCGGGAGTGTTCACCCAGATGATGTCCAGGTGGCAGAAGTAGACGCACTCCTTGTCGAGCCAGGAGCTGCAGGAGCAACGCCGAGGCCGCAGGTGGGAGCCGCCGGCATGGGGCGAGGGCATTGGCTGCTCCTGGGTGGCAGCAGCCTGGCCCTTGCCTGCACGCACAGGAGGGAGAGAGAGGTGGAGAGGTGGGTCAGGATGCCTGGCACAGCTGGAATAGGGGGACCCGACAGACTCCTCCTCCTGCATAATCAAGGAAGTTGGCACTTTCATGGCTCTGGAGCTCCGGGCCAGCCCCGGGAAGCCTCAGCAGCTGCCCTGTGCAGGCAGCACCTCTGAGCTGGCAGGGCCCCCTGCCGCTGCCGCTGGGCTCCCGCCCCGCATGCCCACAGCTGGCTGGTGGGGCACCGAGGTCTCCAGGGGGAGACACCGCTGAACAGACCCGGGGCTGCTGCAGCAGGCGAGGCCGGATGGCTCACCTTCGTGCAGGGCCAGGAGCAGGGCCAGAGCGACGGAGCACCAGGCAGTGGGCACAGCAACCATAGCGGTGGCGGACCGGAGCAGGGAGCAGGGAGCAGGGAGCGCGCCTGTTGCCTGCGTCCTGTTGCCAAGCTGAGCCAAGCCGATAGCTCATTGCCTCGGTGCCCTGGCTGCTTCTTATAATGAGGCACTTCCCCGCCCCTGCCCCAGCCCTGCCGCACAGCGCAGCGCAGGCAGGGTGGAGGGCCCTGAGCCAGAGACAACGCCTCCTCCCGGGGCGTCTGGCCAGTCCCAGCCTCCAAGGGGGGGGAGGGAGANCGCAGGCAGGGTGGAGGGCCCTGAGCCAGAGACAACGCCTCCTCCCGGGGCGTCTGGCCAGTCCCAGCCTCCAAGGGGGGGGAGGGCAGAGGCGAGAGAGAAGGCCCAGCTCCTCCCACTGAGCTTGGAGTACTCGGGGAGTGCCCAGAGTGCGGAGGCTCCCCTGCAATCCCTAAGGGCTCCTCCCAGTCCCTAGAACTTCCTCAAATCACCCCCTAAAGTGCCCAGGGCCCCTGCCCCACTCTCTCTGTGGCTGCTCCCCAGGTGTTGTCTAGAGCTAAGAGTTTGAAAGGGGAGCAAACCTGCCCTCTCCTTGGAGAGACCCTGCTGTCTTGCCAGCCAAGCGGAGGGTGCCCTTTCTACGGTGCAGGAGGTGAAAAGCCTGCTTATGGCTGTGTGGCCTTGGGCAAGTCAGAGCCCTCTCTGGGCCTGTTTCCCTCAGTGAAGGACACAGCCTACCCCTGACCTCTGATCAGCCTGGAGCTGCCTCATCTCTACCTCACCCAGGAAGTACCTCTCTCCCTTCTTCCCACCCAGGAACAGGAGTTCTGGTCCCTACTTGAACAGGTTCAACTGTGCAACCATGGCCAAGGGTATCCATCCTGGGTCTCAGTTTTCTTGTTTGAAAACAAAGCCAAAATGGGGGGTTCTTAATGTGTTGTTTCCCAGGCTCCATCGAGACTAAGAAGGGGGCTTCAGAGTCCTTTCCAGAAAGATGCCCTGTGGGCCCTCATAAAGTGCCCCTTGAAAGGTCTCTTGTCTTGGATGTGACAGGATGTCTTGGCTCATCTCAGTGGCTATTTTCTGCAAAAAAGGCCAGGTGGTGGTGGGTGCTTCCTGAGGGCTCCTACCCATCTGCTGGCTCAGAAACCCGGCCTTGCTAGAGGTAAGAAGGGGGCGGCACTGGTGTTGAGCCTCTCCTCAGAGAACCTGTCTCCAGGCACGACAGGAAAGGCCCTTTTATTTCTCAGAAATCCCAGGCTCTGGTGCCTGCCTGACACATGACATTGAGCTTATCTCCCCAGCAATCTTGAGGTAGAGAACTCCAGAGAATCCAGGGCCTGGAGCTGCCTGGCACACAGTAGGAACACTCTAAGTGAATGAACTCTGAGGGAGGGGGAATGAATGAATAAATGCCTGGCTTTGAACTGGGGAAATTGGGTCTGCCAGGACTCAGGCTGCCCAATTTCTAGTTCCTGTGTTCAGCAGCAATTTTGCATTAGACATTTATGAAGGGGGAAACAGGAGACCACAAAGAAACAGGCAATCTTGGTTGTTCATTGAGTGTATCCAGAGCACGCGTGTGTGTACGTGTGTGTGTGTGTGTGTGTGGTCGTGGTAGAGAGGAGCTGAATGGAAAGAGGGAGAGACCTGTCAGTGTCTTCTTCCTTCCCTGCCAGGCTGGGTCAGGCTTCAGTGAAAGCAGGAACAAACATTCCTGGGCACCTACTGTGTGCTCAGAACACTTTCATTTCCTCTTCATCACAGCCCAGGAGGCAGCTGCTTTATCTGGTATCAGCTCCACGACTGGCCAGGAGGAAATGGAGCCTGGCCAAGGTTGCACAGCCCGTAGGTGCAGAGCCGGCTCTGGAACTCAGATCTCTTTCTCCGTCAAACCAGTGACTCCCCGTGTAGTGCTCACTGCCTTCCCCCGCATGGCCCTCTCCAAGAATTTAGAAGAGTATTTCTGGAATGAGGTGAGCAATACTTCCAGTCATTTCTATTAGCCTCTGAGAGAATATGAATACAGAATTAAGCAGGGTTAGGATGGGGGTAGGAGGTGCATCAAGAATTCAAACCACCGAACCGTGAAGAGAAGAAAGCAGCAGAAGCAGATCAGCGGGAGACGGAGGGGCCAGGAGGGGAGGGAGCGGGCAGGAGGCAGATAGAGATGGGGGGAGCCCCCCCCAGCAGGAAGCAGCGCGGTGGGGAGAAAGGCTTGGACCCAGGAAGGAAAAGAGAAAGACCATCCCGAGCGAGAGGAAGGTTCAGCCGGCTAATCTTTACACAACCGCAAAGTGCCTGCTCAGGACAATAGGGAGCTGGAGGCTTGAGTCTGGGAAACATAATAGAAGAATTAAACGGACCAGGAGGCAGGATCCCTCTCTGGTGTGAAAGGAGGATGACAACAGGCCAGGGGCCGCCGCCCAGCCTGGCAGGGTCAGTGCAGGGAGCTGTGCCCGACTCCAGTTTCCCTTCTTCCCTGCCCTCTGCCCAGGCTGGGCATACAGGGCTCTGTGAAATGGAGAGGCTCGGCTCAAGGAACCTGAGCAAGCCCAGGTATTAGGGGGAAAGCATTACGGAAACGGGGCTACGTCACGGGCAAGAGTTAAGTTTCCAGGCAGAGAAAATTAAGCTGAGTTAAAAATAGCCAGCCCCGGCCCCCTAGGACCCTTAGTAGGCCCTAAACCTTCACCTCTGCCCCTCCCGGCTGGCCTGGCTCCATGGCCCCCCC